ACACTTCCAGACCAGTTTCTGTGTATGGAAAAGCATCACTTCAGTCAATGTCTGTGTAAAGAACAGCTTTGAAACCAGGTCGGGTTAACAACAGAACATCCCAGGGTCTGCCATCCAAATACTGCTCGGATTTCACTTGGTGCAGCACAGTGAAGCAAAGCTAATTATCACACACTGTGTCCATGAAGAGGAGATTCATATCTGACAGATTTTTACACCCACATGACTGGCACTCAAAAAACCAACCAAAACCCACCCTTAAACCCTGAGATATTAATTTAGACAGTGCAGAGGGTGTTTTAAATCAGCTCTCAGTGGGGCTCATTGCCTCAAATAACTGCTACAAAACTGAAAACAATCTCTGCACTGTTCCATAGGCTCTCTCACCGGGTCTGTACTTCTTTGCTTTGACCATGCCTGTGTCCACAACGTATTTTATTCCTGGAATGGTGATGGAGGTTTCTGCGATGTTGGTGGACAGGATCACTTTGCGACAGTCCTGGAAGGAAGAGCAAACTAAAGCCAGTCACAAGCCACCTTAGATGAGCTGCAACGAAGAAATGCTGCTACTTTGGAAAGCATGGCTCAAGCATACTTATCACTGCAGCGTGTTAAGACCACATACTATGCCAGCTCTTGCAAATTAAGATAACCTGTAGTTCCTATCAGTTCCAAAACCATGTGCTTACACTTGTGGTAAAATACACCATCCAGGACAGATGTTATCAGTATGTCTTTAAACCATTTTGGTTTCATTTCTGATACAAGAGCTGGATTCTTGCTGAACAGGTACAAAAGGGCCTGAGGTGGCACAATTTCTTTTTCTTAGAGCCCTGCAATATGCCTGGGTTTTTAGCTTTCTGTGGAGACAGTGTTCTCACGGGAAAATGGATAACTGGTACATAAACTCTGAATAATCCTGAAAGATACAGCAAGGCCGTGAGAGGCCCAAGGAAGCTTAAGCAAGCAAGATAAGAAGCTAGAATTCACTGATGTAATGAGAACTGTGGACTGTTGGCAAGCTTTCGAGGTCAAGTTCCCACACCTGTGCTTAACCAATTATATGCTAGTTGCAAAGGGTCTTCAGGACATGTATCCAATCATAATATGCCAAATCACTGTAAGTGCATGTAAGAAATAGTATTTAAGGGGTTAAGGCTTTGTAATAAATGGCTTTTGTCTGATCATATTGATCTCTGACTGAGTCCATATATTTTCTGCGGCAGCTTTCTTACTGTTTTGTCCAATAACCACTGTAGCTTTTTTGTAATATGGGCATAAACTTCTCACGAAATAGGGCAAATTTCAATGCCTCTGCTCTTTTCACCCCCTAATTCCTCCTTCTTTTTATGATCCCAGATGACTTATCATATGCACCAGTTAATGCCATTCCAGCTGCACTGTCTTATATCATACTGGAACCATTCAGGCTAATGCCAGTGGACAGTGGAGACTGACTTAGGATCAGTACAGACTGCTTTAACTCTTTAAATCCCACATTTCTTCCAAACACTCCTGCAAACTCTTCCTGCTTACCCATCACATCTCCTCACCTTAGGGGCAGCCCGAAAGATGCGATGTTGTTGAGAGTGGGGCAGAGAAGCATAAAGAGGTATCACCATCATCTGTGGGCAGCCGTCAGGGAGATGCTTGGCAATATCTCGGCAGGTTTTGGTCATTGCTTCGATTTCTTCCTGACCAGTCAGAAACACCAGGATGTCCTGAGAAGAGGGTGCTTCCTGGAGCCAGAGGAAGAAGCAAATTGAGAAGTGAAGATGATTTGGATAGGGAGGGAGAACTGAAATTGTAATGAGATCTTGTCATGAGATGTTGTCCTGAGAGCCAGTCAGCAAAGCAGGTAAGGAAGATGGAAAAGGCACACACGTGGTGCAAGGTGTGCAACAGCCTGAAGCTCCCAATGGATTCAGAGTGAGGAGTAAACCGCATTTTGCAGGATTCAGTCTTAACAGGATGGAGGAAGTGCTTAAAGTCACATCTCTGTTTCATGAAATAACTGTCCAGGATGTGCAAAGGAGAGAGCCAGCAAGCACCCTGGCAGCTTTGCATACAAACATTTAGTCACAAAATGCCTACAAACTGTTATCTGAACAGATTTCTACTTGCTTTGTAGTTATGCTTTGACAGTAAACGAGAATCATCTTCATGCTACTGTTAGTTTATACCTGGATTTCCCCCCGCAACCCAGTGCTCTTTACAGTTCACCAGTTCCAATCTTTCTTTTCACTTTTGGAATAACACTGGCATTTGTTAACCCCTCCCTTAAGCCAATCCAAATTCACTAACTCGGCATGATCCCCAACTACCTGCTTTTCCCAGAGGATACATCTCAGGAACATCTCCAATTTGGCAGCAGCAAGCTCACACCATCTTTTCTGCCCCAGCAGCTTGTGAGCCTCCCCAGTCAACAATCCATGGCCCCAAAGAGCACAAACCTGATGAGACAGCCCTACCTGGTGGATTTGGAAGACTGTCACCAGTGCTGCTTGCAGGTAATCACTCTGAGGCTGTCTGGTGTAAAAGACCTGAATGGGATGCTGCCTGCCTTCTAAATAGAGAACAGGAGCTCCATTGAAGTACTCGGAGAACAGGTCAACATCCATCGTTGCTGACATGACAATCACCTTCAACAGGAGCATAAGATGGGTTAGCACTGCAATTTTGATCCAGTCAGGATTAGCCAAAGATCAGCTCCCAGAGACTGAGATATGTGCTCAGAACAGCAAAAAGCATGCAGAGTTTGTGAGGGAAGAGTGATCTTTCCTTACTGAAGCCATCAGCTTTGGTATCACACAAGGGTAACATGTTGGTATGATAAAATAAGCAAAGATGTGTTAAAATTCTTTCTGACACTTAAGAAAGAGAGCTGATACCCACAAAGCTATGCTGCAGAGCAGTCTATTGAACAAGCCTGGGCTAGGACCCTACCAGTCCCTTTTATGCCTTCCCCAACAAAACCAACAAGCTTTCACACACTTCATCACATACTCACACAAATTCATTACACATCCACCCAACACACATGTGCAATCTCCTTCCCCATTGTGAGCAAGTCATACAGCTGCCATATAGGGGCTCTTAGGAAAAAGGGCACCATGGAGGTGACCAGATAGGCTGTTCAGATGTGTCATATCAGGCCCACACATCATATGCTGGCCACCCTTAAATACTGAGACTTAAAAGGACCTCTTGAAACACAAAGAGTCAAGGCTGACATTTCAAATGCTTTGGCAAATCCCAGGAGATACTCAAGTCCAAGCCCCAGGCCCTGCCACATACTTTTAGTGGCAGTTTGCCTAGCTGCCTTCGTTTCTTTTGTGCAGCTTTCACCACTCCAAAGAGCACATCGGTGTGGATCGTCCTCTCGTGTGCTTCATCCAGGATGACAACGCTGTACTGCCGCATCAGGGGGTCCCCAATCGCTTCCCGAAGCAGCATTCCATCTGTTAAAAACTTGATTCTGGTTTCATCAGATGTCAGGTCGTCGAAGCGGACACTGTAGCCAACCTACAGGAGCGAATGTTACAGACAGCATAGAGTTACTTGTGTTTCTCATTGGCATTGTACCACAAAGGAAGACTCCAAAGCACTCTGGTAGGACAGAGCCAACTGGAACTGCAAAGAGGCTCTGGAAAGTGTAACGGTGTGTTTGCAGTCTGAGAGCAGTTAATCTTGCAAGTCTCATAATCACCCAAAGGATGCTCCCAACACTGTATCCCAGTTGGCTTTTTCCCAACTAGAAGCTCATTGCAATTGCCCTGAGTTTCCTTTCCTTCCTCCCCTGCTAGAAACTACACCATGATCTCCAAAGATTTTAGATAGGGAGAGTCTTTCTCCTCCACTTTTCTCCCACAGATTCACAGGTCTGTATGGATTCAGCACTCTGCTCTCCTTGACAGTGACTTTCAGTACAGGGAGCACTGGAAAAGAGTGCAAAACTTCTTGTTTTATTCATTAACAAGTATTTTTTTCAACTTGAAGAACACAAGAGAATAACCAAGAAGTAAAATACCACAAATACAGAGTCAAGCACACACACCCATGCCACAGCAGCATGTAAACACAGCCTTTTTTTCCCCATTCAGGCATATTATTAAATGAAGCTAAGCCCCGTGGCTGTTACTGTCTTTACCATTAAGCCCTGACACGGCCCCACTGTCACTGCAGCACTAAGCTAACTCCCTAAAGACGCTGTGAAACAACCTACCAGGCCTCCCAGCTCTGTCTTCTTCTCATCTGAGACTCTGGTAGCTAAGGCTATCGCTGCTACTCGCCGAGGCTGGGTCACAGCGATGGTGCCTTGGCGGCCAATTCCTGCTTCGTAGAGATACTGAGGGATCTGGGTGGTCTTCCCCGAGCCCGTTTCTCCTGAGGAACACCAAGGGAGTAGTTTTTCTATTAAATCCTCTTCATAAACCTCAAGGCACAAACTGTCATAACCAGCCCACCCTCGGTAACAAAGCTGTTACCGCTTCACTACGCTTCACTACGCTCCTGTGCGGCCGCCCACCGGCTGCTGCGCTCCCCGGGGCCGCCGGCTGAGGGGAGCCGCGCTCGCCGAGCCCCGGCCGGGCTTATGGCGCTGGGGTGACCCGCTGCCCCCCTCCCCAGCCCCGCCGGCTCCGGCACTCACCGATGACGACGGCGCTGTCGAGGCCGCGGATGTGGCCCAGCAGCCGGCCCCGCACCGGGAAGATGGGCAGGCTGCGGCGCTGCTGCTCGACGGGCGGCGGCCCGCGGGGCTGCCCGGCAGGGCGCGCCGGGACCATCGCTTTCGGCCGCTTGGCCGGAGGCCCCTCACCGGGCAGCCGCATCGCTCCAGCCGGCCGCGGCACAGCGCAAGCTCCGCTGCGACCGCGCACGGGGTTGGCGTCAGCGGGCGGGCACGGCGCGGCCTGCTGGGAGATGCAGTGCGGGACCCGCGGGGCCACGGCAGCGGCTGCCGCGGTGAAACCGCGTCCACAGAGCCCAAAGCCCAGAGCAGAGGTGCAGATGAGCTGCAGGTAGCGTCTTAGAGAGGCGGGGTTGACACCTACGGCATCCCCGCTTACGAGCTGTTGGCACGAAGCTGTACCCGGCCCTTGCCAGGCTGCCCCTGGAATGCTGTGCTCAGTTCTGGTCCCCACTCTACAAAAAAGAGGAGGACGGGCTGGAGAGTCCAGAGAAGAGCCACAGAGATGATCCAAGGACTGGGCAGCCATGCGAGGAATGGCTGAGAACTGGGTTTGTTCAGCCTGCTAAAAAGAAGGCTCGGGGGAGACCTCATCACCATGTTCCAGTATTGAAAGTGGGTCTACAGAAAAGATGGAGACTCCCTTTCTACAAGGAGTCCCAGGAAAAGATGAAGGGTGATGGGTATGAGTTACTTCTGGGGAGATTCCAAATGGACACAAGAGGGAAATTTTCCACAGAGCAATCGGCCACTGGAATAACCTTCCCAGGAAAGTGCTGGATTCCCCAAGGTTGGCTACTGTTAAGATTCGGCTGGACAGGGTGCTGGGACATCTAGTCTGGGTCATGCTTTGAAAGAAAGGTTGGATCAGATGATCCCTGAGGGCTCTCCAACCTGGTATTCTATAATGCTATGAAGTAACCTCCAACATCCCAAACAGCTGAGGATACACCCTCCAAAGAGGAGTCTGGTATTTAAAAAACACTTCTTTGTGGGACAGGCTGCCCAAGAGTGGTTTCAAGGGCAATTAAAGCCCAGGTGAGGCAGTAACCTGCCAGCAATAGTCCATTTTGTCCTGTGATACAAGTAAGAACACTTAAAAGTTCCTCCCAGATGCAGCTGTGTGGATGCTATGGCATTACTCTGTAAAGAGAAGAGTACTATCTTACTCTACCAGAGTGAAAGGCAGCGTGTAAGGGAAAGCAGCTTTGGCAGAGCAAGGACAAGTGATCTTACCAGCACATGATTTGAGCAGCCACCCTCAGGCAAGAGCACAACACTACTCCACAGTCAGGTTCTAGATTTACAGAAGGTTTTATCCCAGCAGCAGGGGTGTCTCTTCTCTCCATCACCACTTCCTTACACCTCACCAGCTCTTAAACACTGAAGTAAAAAAAGGTTTTGATCCAACTCATAAAGCAACACTGCCCAAAGCGGTTTTAGTACTCCTGGAGAGTAAGATTTAGTCTATTTTAGAAAAAAATAGAAATCTCCCTTAAGTTTTTATAACTCTTAACAGATAAAATGCAGATACAAATGGATTCACTGTTTTGTTTTTCAGAATCTAATACACTGCTTGCAGACAAAGCATTGCCTCTTGAGATCCCAACACTTTCATCTCCTGAATTACAAACAAGTTAAAAACCTGTAGCTGATTTTTAACAGCAGCAACATCTGAGACTGAACAAGATGACCACCTGGGTATCAAGGCTGAGCCCATCCTCCCACATATAGGAGGAAGATGCAATCTCTCTTTTTATCTATTACAGTATAAAGAGCTACAGCAGTAGAGTCCATAGCATTTTAGGAGTGACTGAACAGGTCAAGCTGAACCATGCTCCTAATTCCTTATGTAGCTCCTCATCTAGGTATTTATAATCAACATCACTTCAAGCTAAATCCTGTTCAGTGTCACTGACCTGTGCTGGACACTCAATCATCCCATAACAAACTTCAGACCACAAATTAAACACCTTGAGCAGACAATCCTGCTTCCTAGCAGTTCCAAGACACACTTGTGGAAAAACCTTCCATTAATGCTGTTTCTTCAGGGACCTGCTTTTCCCTACTTCTGCTTTTAGCCAACTGCATCAAGACTATAGGATTTTACAAAGGATTAACCAAAAGGATCCACACAACATTTTATTCACCTCATCATCTGAGATATTTGAGCAGTTCTGACTCCAGACAAGTTTTCTTCCCTAGAGCTCCAAGCCATTTCATAACCATTTGGAGTGTGCATGCGTAGGGGGGTGGATTTTGTAGAACTACTTATTTAAACCAATTAGACTCAAATCTGAACGCACACTCTTGGGGGCAAAGCCATCAAAATGCAGTCTCAGCCTGGCACGCGTATCCACATAGAGTCACATTCCAGAAACCCAGCTGGCAAAGTGAAACGCCTGCATTATGCTGCATGTTGTATTTCTTACCATTCAAACATGACCGGAGACAGTAGCACCTCAGACTAAAAAACCCTGTGCCACTGAAATAGAAACTTACACTTTCAACCATCTTCTAGTTTTATCCAAGAATAAAAAATGAGTTTAAACCCCAAAAAGTTGGGTTTGTCTCCTGTAAAGTTTTCCATATAGATTCCTGTATCAAATAACTTGGAAAAAAACCAAACCACTTTAGAAATCACTTCAAACAAGTACTCATGGCCTTGTTAACTGAAGCTGACAGGAAATGGTTTCCAGTTTTAGGTTTTTGGCTCCACTGGATTAGTATTTTCATTACCAGCACAATAAATTCCCTGACTGGGAAAGGCAGGAAGTGGTAGTCTGGAAGTGTCTTGGATCAGACTGCATAAAGTGCTTGTATTCAAAACCATATTGCTGTCAAAAAGTGTCCTTTCTGCGATGGGGAATGAAAAGTCCCCAGTATGGATCTTTGCTCAGGTCGGTCTCTCCCAGTTCTCACTGCGTTTTGGCACAGACACTTATTAGCCTCCAAGGCGCTGACCTTCTCCCCATGCAAATCCTCCTGGTCGTTCTTCTGGCAAAAGATTGTAATTAGGATCATCTTCTGGTGTATCAAATATTGCTTTGCTGGAGAACAGAACAGAGATTTCCCCCCTTTAGAATGTGTGTTTCACAATAAGACCAAGACCAAATTCTGCACTTGTAACAGCATCCCCCCTCAGAAACAGGTCGCTGAAGCATGCATCATTTGTACCCAAGTCACACTTGCTCTCCAATTAGACCCCCCGGGAAGAAGGGCTGGAATTATGTGCCTAAACCAACCAAGACTGACAAGGTTCAGCTAAAAACTAATTTTAGGTGAAGAAATTTTTCCTTCTATCCGTGATTACAGCCCTCTCCACAAGAGGGAACTGAGCAGGAGTAGCACTCAGTACCATGAACATTGACGTTTTCTGCCAAACTGTGAAATGAGGATGACTGACAGGAGAAAAAACATTAGATCTATTACATTTAACACCTCAGTCACTGTTCATACACAGCAGGACTCAGACACGCATCTTTGGTGCCACCAACAGGCAAAGACTAACAAGTGTTACCGAAGAAATCAAAGGTTACCCTTTAGCCCTTGTCCTGAAGAGCATAGTTCCCATTTCCACGTCTGTAAGATCCTCCCCTCCCTTGACAACATGAGTTAAATGAAAAAGCCACTACAGGCACAGCACAGTTCTGCCTCAAGCTGCCTGATTTACCAGAAGCTGCTGTGACTGAATTATAAACAGTTTTCCACACAAGCACTTTTTCTACATCATTCACACGTGTTTAGCTTTACAATCAGTACTTACAGGACAGACGGCGTTCTCAGAAGCTTCCCACCACCAGGCTGATTGGGAAAGACATCCTCTAAGAAAAAATATATATGCCCAACAGCAATGCCTAGCATGCAAAGAGAAGTCAAATGGTGATTTTTCAACACTTCTCTTTTACAACTTCCAAATGATTCACTAGAATTTTTAGGAAAAAAAACAACCAAAGCCCACGTTGATTCTTTCACAGAAAATATAAGAGAGAGGATAAAGCACGCTGACATCACATGAAATGCTTAATTCGCACTACAAAACATAAGGAAAACTGTTTGTCATTATTAATCATACTGATGTTATAGCTTTATTAGTTGATAAAAATAGTAATATAAGCTATTTTACTTCAATAGTCTGCTGCCCAAAATCATAACTGGGCTAATTCCAAGTAATAAAAAGCTAAACCATGAGAAGCTTTTTCCATCCTTGTTACAGCCCAACATATGCTATGCTGTGATGTTTAGAAATCAGAAAAGCCTGGTATATAGAACTGGTACTAAATAAAAGGCATTTAGCCCTTGGGTTTTTCCACATGTTGTTTCATGTAGAACACTGGCAGGAACAGATCCTTGTGATTCCTGCAATTGCTTACCCAGAAGATCCACAATGATGGAGTTCCCCAGCAGCAGTGAAAAGCCCATCAATACCCAGGGTAGAAATGGGGCTTGAAAGATGAGAAGACCAAAAAAGTTCATACGGACATAGGGATTCCTGCGGCTCCACACGTACACGAGCATTATTGTGAACGCCTGGCCCAAGAAAACCAAGTTTACAAACAGGCCAAAAAGCTGCAATGGGTAGTTAAAGAAAACTGTTCACCAGGTCATTGTTGGGAGGTCAAGCATGAGAAGTATTTCACAGCACAACTCATAATCCTGTGTTTTCCATACAACTGCTAACTCTGCTTTGCATATTCAAGTAAATCAAACCTACTGGAGATCAAATTCAACACCTACAGCAGGATTCAGTATACTTGCAGCAGGAATAATCTCTTTAATATAATTTAGCATGAAATCACTGAACCACCAGCACTGCTCTGAGATAAACTGAGCATCCTTTCATCCATAAGCTCATTTCCATGATCCTGTCAAGCAGTAAAGAGCCTGAAAGACCAGCTCTGTATTAACAGCACCAGCTGCCCAGCATTCAAAAGTACTTCAACAAATACTGTTATTCCTTGTCCTACAAAGCATATTATCATCTAAGATTAAAGACGAAAGTAACATGGTTTCAGTTCTCATTCATGTATCTTTAGCTTTAACAAAGCAGCTTGGAATAAAAGGATACAGTCATTAAAAGTCCTCCAAAAAGGAACATAAACACAAAATCTGCCGTCCGACCTCGAAAAGAGCCTTCTTCAAGCATTCGGCAGTAACGGTATCTGAAGCCACAGCTCAGGAAAATCTGATTGCAAATGAGTTTGAAGAAAGACCCAAGTGGAAAAGGATTCAATTCTACCTGAGCTTAGATGTTTTTATCAATTTACTCCATCGATTGGCTCTTTCTGGATACCTCAGCAGAGAGGGTGACCCAGGAGAGGGAAAAAAAGGCGATTTGGGATTTTCTCCTGTACGTCAGAACCAACCTGAAAGATCAGGTTTGTACAGCAAAGTCTTAGCACCACACATACAAACAGCAAAATTCTTGACAACTTATGCAGGAGATCCTGTTGCTGCCCATTCCTGACATCAGTGAAGTCATCATTGCTGAACTCCCAGGAGCTTCATGGTGGAGCAGAACAGGACCTTTGCCTACATGCACACATAGCCACGTGCCTGTGCTCTGGAGTTGTGCTTTCTAAGGAAAGCAAGAAAACTTCATGAAGGATACAAAAAGATCATGTTAAATAAAAAATTAAAGCCAACTGGTCCAAAGAATAAGTAGTTGGTGATTAACCTCCATACCTGGAAATAAGACAAATAGAAGGACTTTAAACACGACAGCTTATTTTTATCGCCTAAATAGAAAAGCAGCTAACAATGTAACTGAACTCTCCTTTACAGTCCATGAATCTAAGACTTATGCTAAGAAACAGTGATCTGCACTCTAGCTTTGTTAGCCAGACTGAAAACCCCCAGTCATTTGCCACACTCAATTCTGAGAGGCCAGGCACTCTCAAACTCAACAGCGCCCTTTAAAAACCCCACATACTTCAGAAAACACTTACTTGAAAGTGCTTAAATATTAGCTCAGGGTTGAAGTACAGCTGAAAGGGTGTGATTAGTTCTAATTGCTGGAAAAGAAGAGAACACATGATGGAACCAACACACCAAGTTATGCGCACTCAAGTAAGTAACCCCTTTCTTCTGTGCCAGGCCAACAAGTCCCCTGCCAGCAGAACCGAGCCTCGATAACCCCCTCACCCCTCGGTACTATTTACTGGTGCTTTGCACCCTCCCAGGCCTCCGCACGGGCTGCCTGCAGCGAGTTCCCTCTTCAGAGCGCCCTGAAGGCCCGAGCCCTGGGTGGAGGTGCCTGAGGGAACCCCTGCTCCCCGGTGAGCCTCACCCCCACTCCCGCGCACCCTCCGCGCCCCGCCGGCTCTGAGGGTGGCCCCGGGGGTGCGGACTCACCACGGCGGCGGTGGTAAGGACGCAGGCCGTGGTGTAGGCGCGCGTCACGGGCGGCACCTGCAGGTACTCCTGCCGGAAGGTCTGGTACGCCATCTTAGCTCTCCCCACCTCTTCCGCCGCGCCTCTGCGTCTGCACGCACAAGCCCAGCCAACCCCCGCCAGAGCCAATCGGCTCCGGCAGCGCCCTTGCGCTCTCATTGGTTCACCCCTCGCTTTCCCCGCCCCCGAGAGGTGGAGCCCTTGGTGATTGGGCAGCGCGGCGCTCCTCGCGGTCACTGATTGGTTGCGGCGGGGCGGTCCTCCTGAGGAAGCTTGAACAAGGCGGGAAGCCGTGAGGGGAGCGGGCGGCGGCGGCGGGACCTGGCTCCCCTCGGCTCCGGGTTCAGCCCTTCCCGCGTGTGCCGGGGCCGGAGCTAGGCTCCTCCCGGCCTTCCCTCCGCCGCCATGTCGGTCAATCCCATGACCTACGAAGCGCAGTTCTTCGGCTTCACGCCGCAGACGTGCATGCTGCGGGTCTACACCGCGTTCCAGGATTACCTGTTCGACATGATGCTGCTGGTGGAGACCGTCATCCTGAAGAAGCTGGAGGGGCTTTCCGAGGGCAAGATCAGCCCCCTCCACATCCGGAAGGGCACCGAGAAGTTCCTCCTCTTCCTGAAGGAGAACTTCGATGAGCTCTTCGGTAAAATGGAAGAAATGCTTCTGCAGCTGGTGCTGAACATCCCCAAGAACGTGCTCCTTCCCGAGGACAAGGTCCACGAGCAGTATCCCTACAGCAAAGAGCAGTTCCAGGCGCTTCAGGATGAGATCCATCAGCTGCAGGAGCAGTACAAGGCGGAGGTGACCGCGGGGCAGGCGCTGCGGGCGGAGCTGGAGGAGCAGGAGGTTGTTGAGGCGGAGCTGGAGAAGATATTGCAGTGTTCTGTTGGGCTTGAGAATATCTGCAGGGAGCACTGGAACTGCAGCTTCAGGGAGAGCTTTACTTTCTTGACACCCAGCCTTAAGAAACTGCAAGGTACGCTGAAAGGTATCGAAGAGAAAAGCAAGAAACTAAAGAAGTACGATACTGAATCACGAGATGCTGAAAAAGCAGCTTGCTTAAAATGACAGGCGCTCATCTTTGCAGGAGCATCTCCCGTAGTCCTGACCCCTCTAACCCTGCCAGGATCTAGACTGTTGAGCTGTGCCTGTTTGTACCTATTTAGCACCAACCCAGGGAAGCAGGGGAAGAAAAAAGCCCTGGACAACCTGGCTCTGGAGACACCTTCCTGACGTTACAAACATTAACTGAACACAACACAGCATTGGTCTAATTTTAGGATTATTGAAGAAGAAAAGAATGAGTAAGACCTGCAGGAATGTGTGATTTTCCAGCTCAGGGAGCCAGTGCTTTAGTCAGTGAAGATGTGCCTTCCTAAGGCTATCACTGCCTTTTAAAGGCCAAGAACTAGGGACTGTGTTGCTTTATATGTCTTAGTTTGGTTGGTTTAACTTTTGTTGTCCGGTGGCCTTTTTCTACTAAAAAAGTTAATTTCATTCATGTTTAATCATTCTCCTGTAGAAGCATTGTGAAGGTGGACTGTAAGGCTTGTGGTCACTGAAGCTGCTTAAGCTTGTTCCAGCTGCACTTGAAGTACATCACAGTCTGTGAGCATCTTCCCACTGGCCTCACCAGGTTTTGAGCCTCCTGAACTATCATGAGCTATCCATACTGATTTCTCCTTTACTAGATTAGATGTTTGAAACTTGTGAATAGTTTAGAAGCTACTGCAATAAAAAACACATATTAAAAGCATGAATACGCTTTGCTGTTCTTTTTTTTTCCTGACTTCTGAAGACTTTACACAGAATCAGCTTGGTAAGAACAGTATCTTTAAGTATATATTGCCTTCATGTGTGGTTGGGATCTGTGGGATTTGGTGGTCAGCCCTGAAATGCTCCCAGAGGAAATTGATTTCTGATGCTGAGCTCTGGATCTCTTTAGTGAATCTTTGTTGAGGTGGAGGCTTGGTTTCAGGGGTGGCAAAAATTGGGAATAGAACCAACAAAGGTCTCCACAAGAGAGCTACAAGGAAGAACTTGACAATGGGGGTGAAATGACCTATCCCTGCCTGTCCTCCAGGGCATGGCTCAGTGGAATTGCTTCCAAACTTCAGGTCACTGATAGCAGTCCTCAAAATGTTTGCTATCTTCTCTCAGAACTAAAGAGGAGAATTAGAGGTGTGAAAGGCAGTTGATTCCAGCTAAACAAATGCCATTTAGCTGAAATAAATGAGAGAGCAGCTCTGTGAAGAAAGCAGGACCTTTGCCAGGAGCCCTCTAGAAATATGGCTTCTCAAACTCAACTGCTATTAAAAGCCTGTAACCCAACTTCATTTTCGGTCCTAAACCCACTTTTAAGAGTCTAAGTCTTTAACTGTAGGGGGGTGGCTACATGTAGAAGGGTGTTGGTGAATATATTCCCTCCCAAAGAGTAATGACACATCTCACATCCCTGGTGTTTCTGTAGCAGGATATTGAGGAACAATTGCTTGGTGGGAGGGAATGACACTAGTTTTTTAAGTGTCTGCCGGTGAAATTCAGATAAGCATTAAAAGTACAGATCAAAAAGTACTTGTACGCATGTATTAAAGTAACATTTTCAGTTAAATGGTGAATGGACAGACACAGAAGTTTCACCAGTGAGGAGGTGACGCTTACCTTGCCTGATGCCAACGTGATGGGATGAAACTGGGAACACAGCACAAAATCAGCCCCAGTGAAGGAAACATCCCCATCACTGATCCCGACGTGCAGATACGGGCAGCAGAGGGCACCAGGAGACCATTCCAGCACTTCCCTCGCAGAAACGGATTATTCCCCCCACCCCGCTGTAACTTTCCTGTGCACCAGGAATTATCCAGTGTCTCCTCAGAAAAGGATATCAGATATAAGGACGGCCTCCGAGCTTAGGCAGAAGTTCTTCCCTGTGAAGGTGGTGAGGCGCTGGCACAAGGTGTCCAGGGAAGCTGTGGCTGCCCCATAGTCCAGCAAGCACTCCAGCGGCAGAGCTGAGGTCTGAGGGGAACAAAGTCTCTGTTTCTTCCCAGGATAACACACATTCCTAGTGTGGGACATGCAGGAGCGCTGAGGATGTCCCAGCAGCTGGTTACACCATCAGGACGGGGAAAGGCTTCGAGTCCCTCTGTGGCCATTGGGACTATGATGTGTTCAGCAGTGGGAAAGGAGCCAGCACCATGTCCCAGGGGTGGTGGTGCCCCCAAAAAGCCCTGCAAACGCCGGGGGCTTCAGTTCCCAATGCAAAGGGGAAACGAGAGTTGCAATGAAGATTGGCTTTGGCATCATTCACAGCCAATGGGAGCCCTGGGGGCCGGGCGGTGCAGCCCCCTCAATGTATTCACGGAATGAGGATGCAATTAGCAGCTGTTAATAAACCCACACCCGGCCAAGTGCCAGCCTGGGGCCGGGGAGGTGGGGGGGGGGGGGTGTACCATATGCCTCCTCATTAAAAGCTTTAATTACAGACAGGAAACGCTGGTGGCAGCCACAGGCTTTAATTGCTTCACCTCTAGCTGTCGGTGAGTCAGCTCCCTCCCTCAGGTGTTTGGCCTGCTGGCCCCATCCCTTTCCCCATCCTCACCCTACAGCAGGCCTCAAGGGGCAGGGAGGGGATGCTCACACAGCGACATCTCATTTGAATGATAAAAAGAATCCCCTGTTATGTCAAGAAAAGTCCTTTCACAGGGATTTTGGCTGGCCCAGCCTAAACAAGAGCATCCCCCTTCCCAAAACAGCCCTAAGAAACCTCCCCTGCCATAAACCACAGAGAGTGACAGGCAGGGAGACTGCGCCGCACCAGGGGCGATGAGAGTTATCCCGCTTGGTGTGCACTCTCCCTTAATGTGTTTGCACATCACACACGGGATGGGAGAGAGCTCCGAGTGCCTTGGTGGGATTTAGGGAAAGCTGCCCTGGTGCTGCCTCCCCCCGTGCCCCAGCTCCAGCATTAAAATAAATGGGGCACAGAAAATGGGCTTTCAGGTCACATTAGTGGCAAAGCATTGATTTACTCAAGCGAAGAAACTCCGTCAGGGCTCGGTTGCTGATGCCTCCTGGCCCTGTTTGCTGGACCTCCCTGGAAACTGCTCTAGGAAAGATCGCAGTAAATGTTTGGCTAGACCTGGACAGGCTGGAGAGCTGGGCAGGGAATAACTTGATGAAATATAACAAGGGAAAGTGTAGAGTCCTGCATCTGGGCAGGAACAACCCCAGGTTCCAGTATAGGTTGGGAAACGACCTGTTAGAGAGCAGCGTAGGGGAGAGGGACCTGGGGGTCCTAGTGGACGACAGGATGACCATGAGCCAACACTGTGCCCTTGTGGCTAAGAAGGCCAATGGCATCCTGGGGTGTATTAGAAGGGCGGTGGTTAGTAGGTCGAGAGAGGTCCTCCTTCCCCTCTACTCTGCCCTGGTGAGACCCCATCTGGAATATTGTGTCCAGTTCTGGGCCCCTCAGTTCAAGAAGGACAGGGAGCTGCTGGAGAGAGTCCAGCGAAGGGCAACAAAGATGATTAAGGGAGTGGAGCATCTCCCTTATGAGGAAAGACTGAGGGAGCTGGGTCTCTATAGTTTGGAGAAGAGGAGACTGAGGGGTGACCTTATAAGTGTCTATAAATATATAAAGGGGGAATGTCACGAGGATGGAGCCAGGCTCTACTCAGTGGCAAACAATGATAGGACAAGGGGTGATGGGTACAAACTGGAACACAAGAGGTTCCACTTAAACTTGAGAAGAAACTTCTTCTCAGTGAGGGTGACGGAACACTGGAACAGGCTGCCCAGGGAGGTTGTGGAGTCTCCTTCCCTGGAGACATTCAAAACCCGCCTGGACACATTCCTGTGTAACATTATCTAGGTGTTCCTGCTCCGGCAGGGGGACTGGACTAGATGATCTTTCGAGGTCCCTTCCAATCTCTAGCATACTGTGATACTGTGATACTGTGAAAGGGATCACTTTCACATGTAAAATCTTTGTTCCCTCCCCATAATTAAATCATAGGAAAGAGGGAGTGCGACCAACCAGCCTCTGCCAGAGGGAAGCCCTTGGAGGCAGCTGTGCATGGTGTGGAGCCACAAAC